GTATTTTGAAATGTGTTCCAAACATCTTTACCTTTGGAGTGACTGATAAGGAAAATGGGAGGAGTGAAAAAAAAAGCAAGCAAAAGATAATCGGTTTGCTTGCACTTCCCAGTCGCTGAAAACATTTGTCATTTCGCATTTGCCGTAATCTCTTTTCCAAACTCTCCCCACAAATCTCACGGATGTCCCCAGTCTCTCCAAAACGTGTGTTTGCTGTTTATCGCCCCTCCCCACCACCGCTGCCACCAGAAAGAAGAAAAATGCGTATTTTCGTGTTGAGACGATTGGCGTGACACACTTTAGAAAGGGGATGAATGTAGCGACAGATGACAAAACCGCAGCCAACGTTGCAGATGTTGGCGTTTCTCGTTTTTCTCTTTCTGTCTGTTGCACTTATAAAATATTCATCTTGCAGGAACCCTGCGTAGGGGCTTCATTGCTATAGGCGGAGCATGTTTGAACAGTAAATGAAAGAAGCGTGCTCTTGCTTTTGCCCTCCTACAGAACCAGATCCACACAGACATATAGTCTACGGCCCTGTGTCTGAGGAAACTACAAAGAGGCATCATCACACTCACGCCATGTCTAATGTGGGTCAGCAGAGTCTCAGGGGCCTTCAAGTTCTCAGACTGTTTCACCAAACTTACCATACTCTCAACCCAAACAGCAGGCTAATCTACTTTTAAAGGATGTGGTTGAGAGGGGCTGAGATATACAGTACAACCAATCAACACCCATGTCTCGTTCTCCTACCCTTCATTTGGCATTAAGTGTAGACCATGTATATGAATACTGAACATCTTACCAAGAAGATCTTACCAAGCCTTGCACTGCAGATTTGCACAAAAGTGTACTGAAACACATTACAAAAGATGTTGACTTTATCTCCCACCTCTGTTGGAATACACTGGAATATGCTGTTGATGTGCTCCAGAAATTAATCACAACATATCTTTCCAAATCACTCTACCAAAAACTATTATGTGCATTTCTTAATTCTCATTTTAAACCTGAAAAGCATTTTAAAAACTGAAAAAAAGGCTGTGTTATATCTGACCAACTTCACATTGCAGACAATATGTGGACACTAATTAATGCAGATGTTACAATAGTGAGCCAATAAAACAAAGTGTTCACCAGGCTTATAAGACAGTGGTTGTTCTCATACGCATAGTTTGGGGTCAAGCAGGAGATATACTGCCCCTACGACTGACCAGAGCTGAAACAGATGCATAGTATTAAAATTACAATAATTAACAATTATCATTGTTCTCTTTTTCTAAATTTTTAATGTCATTACTTTTATTATTGATGTTAAAATCAATATGCTGTTTAAATGCTGTTTAAATGTTATGGTCAAATTTTCACGCACCTCTATCACACATGACTTTTATTGTACAGATATTCCAAAGATGAAAACGATGAATAACAATCTGCAGTCATTTACCGACCAGATTTCACCGTACACAGCTTTGATTAGTCCTCAAACTCAAGGCCTTGTTTACTCTCACTGAAAGTCGCTACCTAACTCTAACTATCCCACTGGTTTGTGCTGTTATGAGCGTATGGCTAGTCTTTATTTGTCTCACTGTCTAACTAGTAAAATGCTGCCACATAGCGTGTGGTTTTTGTATACTGAAAAATGTTCAATATCTAATAATATCTATAATTATCTTTACAGATATTTATCTCCTGGGCCTGTTTTCTGATCTCTGGCCAACATGACGATGGGAAGGAACTGTAGCAATCTCTTTCCCTGTGCCAAACTTTTACAGTACTAGATATATGTTGGAGTAGTATGTGAGAGAAAAACATTACCCATCTGGTATTAAGGTATGACTTGCCTAACAATTCCTGTATCAGAAATCTAAAGTTTTAGAAGTGATACAAAGTAAAGGGCTCAAACAGAAACACCAGAAACATCTTTGTATGAAGTTTTTGAGCAGCTCCTTGCTTCCCTGGTGTACCACACCTTTGTAAAAAGATTCAGAAGGGTATATATTTAGCCCCCTTTTCAAGAGCTCTGGGTGATCATTCCTTCCCTGTGCCTCACTCATCACACTGACTGGATACAAGTTACAAGACGTGCAGGCACTCTGGCACCCATTTTTAGCCTCTTGCTAGCTGTAACATGATCTATTTCAATGCATACTCTTCTATTAGTGGCAATTTGGAAGCATTTGTTGCTCTTAAACACAGCCTTTGCCATGATGAAAGCTTAAAGCTATCATCAGGTCTGGCACAGTGGGCTATTAGCACGACAGCTATCTAATCAACAAAGGGATGACTAGAAACTTGCTCCCATTGTTTGGAACGTATCAGGGTTCATTTGTTGTGTTCAGAATATTAGATAGAGATGCTGATTAAACTTAGGCAACAGCGAAATCTCCATGAAAAAATTGGAATTGCAATAATTGACAAATGTGTAGCTCATTTTTTCATTGACATTTATGCATTTAGCAGACCCTCTAATGTAGAGAGATTTACAGTTCAATCAGGTTACAGATGTAGCAAATGTAGCATTGGGATTCTTGCCCAAAGACCCTTACTGGTGTAGTGTGGTGTGCATGCCTGGGCAGGGAATCGAACCCTAGTCTGTTGCGTGGAGTGCAGTTACCCACTATGCTAAGGTCAATGAAAAACAGTCTGTTTCTGAATGCAAAAGATCCAACACAAGCATTATCTGGCACCTAAAGGAACCTTTAATAAGTTATAGCTTGAAGTTTCAGACTGTGACAACAATGTAAACCATTCCTCAGTGTATATTCATTCATACACTTTAGACAAAGTCTTACAGTGACTTGACTGTACGAGGTGGACATGGTGAACATTACGAAACACTGCAGTTTGACCCCAGTTTAAGTTCTCTTGGACTGTGCATAAAGATCTGTCTAAAAATGACCTGTTTTCTCCAGCTACCATCCAGACCCACTTGATGCAGTTATAAATTCTCTCATATCTCATTATTACTGATACCTAATTACACTTTACTGTTCATAATTATATACTGCCGTCGAAGAGGAAGGCAGCCTCTCCCGGGAATAAAAGTGAAAAGCTCATTAAACAGTTCGCAAGCCTCAGGGACCACGGAATATGTTAAGCCGGGTTCAGAATTGTTCTGAATAATATCAAATGTGACACGGTGTAATCTATTTGAGAGTCAATTGGAATTTGAAATGAAAGAACCGATTGCAATGCAATGTCTTATTTGTCTGTACATTATGACACAACAGGGTGCCTTATTTTTGGAAGTGTTACTGGTCATGGTAATTTAGATGTGATTAGGTGTGAAGAACATAACCAATGAGAACAAGGACGATGTAGGCTCCTGCAGTGGAATAAAGCACAAAAATACATATTATTTTCAGGGACATGAACATGCCTGACACAAAATTACAGTTACCAGACAAAAATAAAAAACCCTTAAAATTCCAGGCTTATTACATATAAAGGCTTGCTATTCAGTAACTACAGGGACTTCAATGCAAACTGGCTGAGCTACTCTTAGGGTATAGAAGTTTGTAAAAAAAAAAACAAAAAAAACTTTGGGCCCACACGTTGGCCCTGGACATGTAAGGAGTTAAAGATCAAATCAAACTTTGAAAACTGTGAGGCAAAATAGTCCCCACAGACAGCATTTATTTATTTTTTTACTTTTATTTTACTGTCATCAACATTATATATAGAAACTCAAAAGACATGTAGGTTCACTGGTGGTTTTAGATTGTAAATATATTGGCTGTATTTGTGTTGTAGGCATTGTGACCCCTGGTTCCTATCACCACCACTGTGAAGAAATCTGAGTCAGAACGTTTCTCTACAATTAAGCGTTTCACATCAAACCACCCTGAATGGATTTGCTTACATCTTAATGACTGATTTCTAGAGAAATTTAGAAAAATCTGTGGAATTCCCCTTCAGTGGTAAGAGATTCTATTATAGTAATTTTGGAGTATTTCTACTGACCCATTCATCATGAAATTTTCACACATAGCAAATGGCACCTGTTGTGTTCAAATGACGTAGGACAAAATGCATGTTCTTTTTTTTTTGACAGTGACAATAGCTTCAGCATGAAATGGAAGTGGTATGTTTTAACCTCTTTTAACTCCAAAGATCAGGCGAGGTCAGACATGTTGAGGGTGGCTGAGTAAGACTACCAGTAAGTAAAGATATTAATGAAAATGAATGAGTCCACCTGTGCTGAGACCACCAGCAGAGGCCATCACAAGTGCTATCGCTCCTCTATTTGAACATCTGCTCATGGAAGTTGATCCAGGAGCACATGTGAGAGTAATTTGAGTAACTTCATCAAGCTCCCGTAGAGGTTTGATAATGCACCTGATAATTATCCTCAAGTTCTCTGTTGAAATGGCTGTCAGTACCATTCATGAATCTGAGAAGTAAGATCGACTGATACGGATCAGATCTTTTATCCAAGTTTTTGTGGCGTCAGTTAATTGAATCCTTCTGGAACCTAATGAGTGTGGATAGAGTGAAAATAAATGTGCTAACACTCACAACAAAAAGACTAAAGTATGGTAATTATGCCTTATTTTCTCTGGTATGCTGTATTGGAATCAAGCAGAAACATCAGCCCCATCAAATATTTAAACCTTAAGAAGAAAAAAATCAATTTTGCTCAAATCAATGGAGTCGCATTAAGATAGCTGTGCTCTTTGCGGCATTAAGTTTAAGTGTGTCACCACAAATTCAGCGCTCTCTTTCACCCTGGGGGATCAGGGAGGCTGATAATGACTGAAACCAGAGAGAGAGAGGGCGAGGAAAAAAAGAGAGAAAGAGAGAATTTTTCACCCTGCACCTCTTCAGGCACATCACCAAACACCACAGGTCACAGTTATTATTAAAAGCGTGCCGGAATAATGAAGAGGGGATTAGGGTAGGGGGGGAGCGAAAAAGGAAGCAACACAAAAAGTGAGCGAGAGAGGGAGAGAGAGAGAGAGAAAGAGAGAGACAAAGTTTGCCCAGGGTGGTCTTACCACTGATGCAGAGGCTCAGGGAGCAGAGGCTTTCCTCACAGGTCTCGGGGCTCTCCGCCTCCCACTGAAAGCCCCTCTCCCTCTTCCTGGGGGACATCCGTCTCACCACGTTCAACACCCGGTTCACTCTGTCCATCCTGCTCTCTTCTTTTTTTTCCCAGGGCACCCGCTTCTTCCCTCACTTCCCCCGATCGCATTAGACGTGCCGAGTCGGCTAAACAAACGAGCGCGAGGAACAGGCACCGGCTGCCTCGTCCCTTTTTTTTTTCAAGCCACGAGAGCGAAAGAGGAAGGAGGGGGTGAAAAAAAACACCTAAAAATTTACCCAGCACGCTCCCCTCTTGCTGTGAAGCTGTATCCCACTGATTCTCTGGCACAACTAGCAGCCTAGTGATCAGGTTTTTTTTTTTTCATTTTTACCTCCCTCCCCTCTCCCTTGCTCTCTCTCCTCTTGCCATCTCTAGCTTTAATCCTTTTCGTGAAAGGCCTCTCTAATCAGCTAATAATATCTCATTATTATTATTAGGAGAGAGAGAGAGGAGGTTGACCCCAATATGGGCGAGGGCCAGGCCAACCGCTTTGAAGTGGCCACAGCGTGGGGTAACGAGGTCCACCAGGGCAGATCACTGTATTGCGTGGGATATGCTGACAGGATAAAAGGACTGGGCACTCTACATCATTCCCTCAGAGGTAACTTACCACCTCAATTCCGAGACTTGAAAAGTTGGACAGTAAGTGTCAAGGCAAGTGTCAGGAGTTAAAGGGAAATACCACAGATTGTTCAGTGTTTCTTCATTATACAGTCATTAAGATGTAAATTAAGCCATTCAGAGTGGTTTGATTTGATGCATCATTTTAGAAAAACATTCAGAATTGTTCACAGTGATGGAGCCGCATGTCTGATGCATCTGACGCCTCTAAAAGCTTCCTCACAGAACGTTATTATGTGAGATGGTTACAAATACGTTACCGGAGACATTGTTTTTACCACAGCAGGAAATGCTCTGAGCCTTTTAGGCCTCCAGAGAAGGCCTAATGATTACTGTGAATTTAAAAAAGTAATGTCTAATTTTTGCTTCATTGTTATTTAAAATCATCTTCACTTGTATTTATCCTCTGCAACTATTGTAATAATACTTTTATTTCATTGTTAACTTTTGGTGGGACACTAAGTGGTTTACTTCTTATAAAGGCCAACAGAAAACTGTCAGACTTTGTGTCAGACTAATCACTAACAAAATTAGGACCAATCACTATGTCTACATCTCAACAATTGAAGTATGCAGAAAAAAATGGAAGGAATTTTTCTTAAATAGAAGGTGAAACATTGCCATGTTTTAATATGAATTCCCCAACATATCGCTGTTGTCGGAAGAAAACCTTATATCTCCAAAATGAGAACTTTACAGAAGGAAAAAACGTATTTTGCTTTTAATGTAAGGCAATGGAACCAGACTTTTTTCCCAAGTCAATTTGGGCCATTTCTTTTGGTCCATTCATCATGAAATTTACACACAATATAAAGGGCAACAGGCTTTTTTTCAATGATGGAGATACGAGAGATATGAGATACGAAAAATGGACATATTTTCTTCTGACAGCAGCAATATGTATGTCTGCTGTATCTAACATACATATCTATAGTATCTGTATAACTGAGATATGTAAACTTCAAATGTGAATTCCTAAACTTGCGTCTGCTCATCTAGCCTATAAAATATATCGTCATATTTATAGCTCTGAATACAAGTGTGGCAGAACATGGCATGTAATGAAACCAACCGAATATACCAATGACGTCGCCTCACCAAAGGCGACGTCACGTCTACCGAATTAGCGCTCCGTCAGAGCCTAAATGCAAAAGCTAATCTCTTGTAATTCCTTTTGTTTTTTGGCAGTTCCGTGGGAATTCCCATCTCTCAGAGTAATAGCACATTAGCAGTCCCTCTTCACGCCGCCTCGCTCCCCGCGTCCCACCCACACATCAGACAAAAGCCAACGAGCACAGAGGTAAAAGTGACACGGAGGAGAAAGTACTCTTTAAAGCTGCTATTAGCATTATTACATGGTCTGGAGGCTGGGAAGCCACCCACAGGAGACTGTTCTAATCCAACAAAGTGCCTAGTCATATGCTGCACAAAGTTTATTACTCACCCCCCCACAGTATGGCAAAATCACAATGAGAAAGTGACCATAGCCCGCTGACCTCTAGACCAACAGTTGCCAAACATTTGCCTTCTGGGCAGTTTTATGTGGTCTGTAATATATTGATGCTTTGGCCATTTTTGGCCTAATTTGCAGGGCCACCTTCCCTGTCTCTCACTCTGACATTCATGCACATACAAAAACAGGTCCTTGCAGTCCTTCCAAGGCTGAATTTTAGATGAACGTGGTTGCTCTGCAGCTTCGTGGAGGTGCTGAGTGGCACACTCAGCTACAGTGTGCATTCCAGCAGAACTTCATGCACCTCATAAATTTGGTCTTGCAATCTTCTATACACTATTCTATAGTGGCTCTCAACCTGGTCCTCAGGCGCCCTGAGATGGTCCACACTTTTGCTGCAACTCAGAACACACAGTGATGAAGGAAAAATGTGGACTTTCTGGGGGCCCTGAGGACCAGGCTGGGAACCACTGCTCTATATATTCAAAATGCAGTTCCAACTAGCACACAAATTATCACAATATCAAAAAATGTATTCTTCTGAATAACCTGTAGATCAGGGGTGGGCAACTCCGATCCTGGAGGGACAGATGAAGCATTATATGAGTGTCAAATTATGATTGACACACCTCTCAGCCAATTACAATCATCATGAAATGCAACTTCTTCGGCCAAGTGAAGGAAAAACTCCTCAGAACAAACCTGCAGTAACAACGACGGTGGTAGTAAATTAGTCTGGTTTAGATTATTTTGAGGTGATTCGTCAGATTATAAAACAAAATGATGTTGGAAAAAAAGTTTCTGAGGAACATATAAAGTCTGACTCATGCTATCTTGATCATCTGGAGGGTGGTGCTGTCTTTATTTCATTCCTGAAGCTGAAAAGGTTTTGGTTTAAACTGTGACCAAACCCACAGTTCAATGACAAAACTTTTAACAGATAGACTTAAACTGGCTTTAAGGTACGCGTTATCTGGGCTGCTGTATTTGCTAAAAAGATTGAGATCTGTTTGCTCACTAGTTGAGCTGCTTGCTGAATCCGATTAAACAGGACTGTATGGCGCTATTTGTATTATTTCATTAAAGGTTGCTGAAAGATACAAGCCTTTCTCAGCATCTAACATTGCTCTGACTAACTCCAGTGTTAGCTTTAGCATTAGCGCATCTTAAGAGGTATTTTTCTTAGCTAAAACATCTTATTAGACATGGAGACCTGCCGCTTTAACGTTGAGTGTCTAAATGATTTCCCTGGTTCGTTTAATGAAAATATGGTTTCCAGAATCCATTTCTGTTTGCGTTAAATTGGCCAACAGTTTTGTTCATTTAAATTTTGTTTGTTCTCAGATACAAATGTCTTCATTCAAGATCTTGTAAAGCCTGTTTATTTTTTAATGAACACTGTTTAAAACGTTTCCGCTGTATGTTTCTAAACTGTCCTTCCTACTACTGAACTTGTTAGCTCAAGTGTTATGAATGATACCAGATAGACTGAACTGAACGTTTGACAGACATAGTAACAATAACTGAGATGCTGCAAATGGGTGGTTTCCAGGTTTAGCAGGTATGCTAGAGCAGGGAAAACTTTGATGGACTCCAGCCCTTAGTTCCCCACCTCTGCTGTAGACCACTAGTGGATAATTGGGTAACATACTAACAGAGATGCTCTTTTGAGAAAGTTAGTCATTCTGGTCCTGGTTAGGGAATCACAGAGAATAATGGCACATGACACTAACTTCAATAGCCTTAGAATCAACCAACATAAAGAAGGGCTCTTGATGATAAATGAAGTTCTTGTTTTTCAAGGCATCCTGTGTTCAATGCAGTTAAACCTGACCAAGGCTTTTCATTGAAGCATACCCTTGAGAAACTGGACAATGTGGTTCAAATCTTAACCATCAAAGATGTGACAGTAGCCACGTTTACATGCAGCCTGATAATCCGTTAATAATCCGACTAATAGCTCAATCGGAATAGAATACGTCCATGTAAACACCTCAATCGGAATAGTCTAATCCGATTGAGGCCATTCGGAATACAATTTCTATCCGATTAAACGAGGTGGGTAAACTTTTAAATAATCCGTTAAATAGAAGAATAATAGCCATGTAAACGCCTGAATCCGATTACATTCCAATCGGAACGTGTAAGTATGTTCTGCGCATGTGCGTCGCGTCACGGCGAAAGTTTACACCGCTCAACATGATGGAGCAGAAACTGGTCTGGACCTCACGTGATGTTCGCTGTCATGGTAACGTTTACTCTAAGCGCTACTCCACGCACGCGCGTCATTTTGCATCGGATTACTTGTAGTGAGCATGTAAACGAAGGTTTTCCATCAGATTGTTGAATAGAGTGCATATAAACACCTCAGTCTACATCTGTAATCGGATTGTATTCAATCGGATTGGCAAAAATCGTTGCATGTAAACATAGCCAGTGACTGTTTCATTTAAGAATCCTGGAGTAGAGCTGCTGCTGCTGTTTTCCATTTCTAACATCTAACTGAAACTTGGTTAGACTACATCTCGTATTCAAAGCCAGTGGTGTATCTCCCAGAACTTTCAGAAGGCCTAGAATGACATTGTGTATTGGTAAATTAAAACATAAAAATGTCAGTTTCTAATTATGTTAATGGTTAATCTGACATGATAGGCCTTCAGTATCATCACCAATGGGAAAGCTTCAAGAATTTAACTCTTTTAGTTCCAACCAAAACTTAACAATGGAATAAGAGTATTACTACAGAACCTGCAAGTTTAAATACAACAAGCATGATGATTCTGTTCAACAAGAATGAACTAAAAATTACAGGTATGTATTTTTTTTATTTCACAGATATCATTAGGCCTTCTCTGAAGGCTTAGATGGCTCTGAGGATTCCCTACTGCCAAGATGGTGGACAAACCATAAGAAATGGCAAGGCAGACAATGTGTAAACCTGAAGGGTTGGTTTAAATCCCATTGTGGTACCACAGGA